GAAAAATCTAATGTTATAAACAATCTGGTTTTTAATATCAAATTAAACTGACAACCAATTAATTAAATAATTATTGTTCACAAAAGATGAAACAGGTTCCAATATTACGCAAGTATTCCCGCAAATCATTATGGACAAATAAATAATAAGATTCTTTTCTTACTTTACTTTAAAAGTTCATGAGGATCATAAGTTATAATCTAATATCAATATGACGTGTGCTTAATTGACATAAAATAAGTTAAATTCAAACTTTTAATAAATGAAATTAAATAATCTCTAACTGATTAAAAACATGATCAATTATGACAATATATATCTCGACTTTCCATTAATCTTTTTTAAAGCGTTTTTTGGCAATTTATCAAAAATTAGAAATCCAGCAGAGCGCTCAATACTATCTAGCGGTGCCAAGAATGAGGCCAGAGGTGTATCATCAGGTATCACCTGAAATTATTAAATTCTGTCAAATAGTTGAGTCGTAGAAATGATCTTGAATGAGTTCATCAATTCAATAAATACCCATTTACCTATGTGGCTGTTTTTATTATATATTTTGGACTATTAACAAAAGTTCATCAATTAGACAACCTCTTATAAATAACTTACCGCATTTGGTAAAATGTATGCTTCTAGTTCAAATTTGCCATCTATAAGTTCTATCAGTACAACCTGAAAAAGTTAAATAATGACTTTTAGCAAGATGAAGAGCTTGAGGTCACAATACCTTAAAGAAGTGTGTTGGTACAGCAATGTTATTTCGACCAATAATTTTATACTTGATGTACAGTGAACCATCCTTCTCCAATTTCGGCAAAAATAATGGCCCAGTACAAACGTATACATTTTTGTGTTTTCTAACAAGCTTCCTAAAACTTGAACTTTAATGAAATTCTCGAATGTGCTGAAAAATACATCACAATGCACTGAAATAAAAAAGATTAACAAGAAGCAGAATGATCAATAGTGACCAATTAATAATCGATATAGTTCATTGCACCAAACGCTTTGATATTAAAAAAAGAGTATAAAATTATTTTGAAAGTCTTCTAACCCTAAAAATCAATGAAAATGTTAGATACATACTTAGTTCTTAAAACACACTACCTGACGTGTCTCTCCAATTCATTCCATTTGCCCCTATTAAACCCTTTCCCAACTTGAGGTGCCATGTTGCTCAATAAGAAAGTTTGGTCGATAGCAGTTTGTGATCGCCGATGATTGCCAGCTGCAGCTAAGTGACCACGATCATACCCGCTATTCTGCAATTATTAGAAGTATGAAATCTGCAACGATATGTAAGAAAGCATGTTTATTTCAACGAAATTTTTACAAATTAAACAGATTGCTTTTACAAATTAAACAGATTGCTCATTAGTTTTCCATAAAATAGGCAGTTAAAAAAGAAGCTAGCCTGGAATGGAAAACTGTGCCTTATAGTCATCGTTTGTTGATTTGAAATAAGGATGAATTGACGAGTCCTCATGAAAGAAGCACTTTGAACGGTCAACAGATGAACTGTAGACTAACCCATCTGAACTTAGATGTTCAATAACCCAGTAAGCAATTCTACAAAAAGCGAAATGAAAATAAATTTTAATAAATAAAACCACTTAGCATTCATTGGCAGTCAATATAGATGTAAATAAGAGAAATCAAATTTTCCAAAGTTTGGATGATAATGTAGATAATAATGCAGTAAAATTTGAAATGAGACTTATAATTTTAATATTAAATTTTTTCCATCAAAGTGCAGTACCTTTGTTGCGGAATTCGTTTGATATTTAACTCTTTATTTGGAAGTGTTAATTAAAATGATAAAACTGACTTGAAAACGTTCCGCTGTTTCATATGTGAAATGTAATAACCTATTTCGACGGTCATATGATAAAACATAATCTTCGAAGGTGCGTAAATTATCAAAACTGGGATAACCATAACGCATTATTTGGGACGAACGAGATGGCTGTTCTTTCATATGGTCAATATCCATGGTTGAAGTGGGTCCGGTCAAAATGTGTGGTGGCGGCATTGCAGGTACTGGTAACTAAAAAAGGTATTCCAATGCTAGAATATACCAAGTAAAAAATCCGAAAAAATCAATGAAGGTAATATTCATGTAATATTTTAAAGTAATATTTTATTTTCACACTTCACATAATATTTTTAAACAAATCTGACGGAGCAATTCGAAAATGAGAAAACGGTTTGGTATTTTATAGGATATTAGAGCAAATCCTGTGGATATAAAAAGCTAACATCTGATAGAAAAGAATTATATTAAGATTACGATTAAAAATTCAAGGCATAGTTTTACCTGAATAGTGGCGGCATTAGCTCGTTTTAGTATATATTTGTCGGTACAGTAACCAGCAAAGAAAGAAACAGTTAGCAATGATGCACTGCCACATCGATTAGTAATATATTGCATCCTATTAAAATATTAAAAAGTGCATTCACGCAAACAACAAATAATCTCAAAGTTAACAGAATCGCTGACAAAGGAAAGAGAAAAGACAAAGAGAAATTAATTCGTCCATATCACAAATGTTAAACGAAACGTAATCAGTAACTGATAGGAAAAATATCTGGCACGTAGGATCCAGTATTGATAGGTTAGAAAAATGGAAGGAAAAGATAAACAAAGAACCATTTCAGGAAATACAAGAAATCACATCCACCAACCTTTTCTGATTATCTAGCAAAATGAGCTTAAACCTGCTTGAATAGAATAAGAGACGAAAGAGTGTTCAGGGTGGTATCAAATGAAACCAAAGAATGATCGGATGAATGTTAGACACATGAAATAGATGAATATCGAAATGATCGTATTACGATAAGGTTATTTTCAACTTTCGACGATAATTCTGTTTACAATTTCTGGATGAAATTAAAATTCGATTTTTATAAGGAATAAAATGAATAAAAAGAAGTTTTTATATTTAATAAATTTTATTACATATTCGTATTCGACGTGAAATGATGGATGTTTTTATATATGCTTACTCATTTTGTTTTTGTTAATATCGTTTGATAGAATTTCTTCTTTTACATTCATTAACTTTTACTTATTTAATTAGGAAGGAAGGACATGAGAGAGGAAGTTAAAGAAGGAAGTAACAATTACAATATAATCTGAAGTTGTTGACAGATATTACTTAATTGTTTGCACTTTCTATTCTCACATACTATTGAATTGTTAGAAAAAAATGATAAGATGCTTAAATTATTTCACTTCCTTTTACTCTAGAATATATGGTCAAATCATTAATAAATGGTAAATATTTCGGTAATAAATATTGGGACAATTTATGTCATTCATTAATTTATGCGATTTATTCAATATTGAATTCTAATTTATAATTAATTTTTAGGGAAAAAGAATTTTACATAACTGAGATTTCATCGCTGTAGTAAATTCGTCAATTTGTTGTGAATTTATTGAACACAAAAAGTTGCCAATATTTTTTGTGAAATGTTTTACATACTTCGAGTACAAATTTGGTAAAGGTTAACAAAACGAAGGAGAAAGTAACTTCTATGAACTTTTTTCTTGTTAATACGACGAGACATTATTTATAAATCTGTGATCATCCGCCGTACAGTTTCATTTCTATCTGATTATACTTTACATTTCATTGATAAATACGGAATAGAGTTGTTTGGAAGAAAATCACTTAATTCATAATTAATTTTTGACAAGGAGTTATTTTCTACAGAAAAAAATGAAGTAATTAATAGAACATACTAATGAGAGAGAAGAAGAGAAAATATTATGTACATATTGCTATATTAATACTGTTCTTCAAGATGAATTGAAATGAAAGAAATGATGGGAAGATAAAATTTAACAATCTAAATTATCAAGCACTAAGATAACTAACAATTAATAATTTTAATCATAACATGCATAATTTCCTGTTTCATTTTCTGTTCATCTATTGATCGGAAATTTCGTGTGAGAGGAAAAACAGGTTGAAGTAATTTTTGATTTACTGATATGTAACAGACGAAATTCACTGTTTATCTAAGTTTTTCTAATTTTACAACGTTGCATATCAAAATTTTTATACAAGTAATATTGAAAACTTGTTTACTAAATGGCGTCTGGAATATCAGGACAAATGCTAACTGTCGTCATTTTCACTTTTACATTTAATGTTCGTATCAAAATTAGAAATTGAACGTTCCCAATCGATATTTACTTTGTTTTACGATTATATAATTAGCTGCAAATTAGGAACTTTATCATTGATACTCTCTTGATTGTTGCAGATAAAAAAATAAATCATTAGCATATTTATTTTCTCACATGTACTAATTCCTTATGTATAAATTGCAATACTATTTATCATTTGATAACAAAGCTCTCTGATCCAACTGGGGATATGTACTTATTTACATTATTTATTATCTATTTATTCATTTACTATTTGTAAACAAATGTATATTTATTTACACTTATTTTATTTATTTACTTGTAAACTTATTGCTTATTTTCTAATTTATTATTAGCATATTTATTTAAATTCATCCATTGATAACAATAACAATAAATGATACATGCAAAACAATATCAGAAACATTCCTTCGGATATGATTTGCAAACAAGAAAGTTTTCATTCATTTCATATATGTACAAAATCTTTTTACATNATTTATTTAAATTCATCCATTGATAACAATAACAATAAATGATACATGCAAAACAATATCAGAAACATTCCTTCGGATATGATTTGCAAACAAGAAAGTTTTCATTCATTTCATATATGTACAAAATCTTTTTACATCTTTTACGCACTATTCATCTTTCCATAGCAATTTTCAAACATTATTATATATGAAGTTGTATGTATGTGTGTGTGTGTGTGTGTGTGCACATTTTCGTCTGTCTATCTGTTTGTGTGTACATAATAAATTTATAGTATAAAAGGTAAGAATAAAATTCGTTCTTCCCTTCCATATATTATTCATTTCATTTAACTCTTCACTTAATATAACATTTGGAATATTAATTAACTCATTATTATCACTGTCTATTGCTGTATTATAAGTTAATCATTTTATGACTTTTCATGTTATCATAAAATTGAATAATTAATGCGATATTTACAAATAGATATAATTTTTCATTATTATAATTATTTGACGGTAACTGTTGTGAAAATTTAAAACAAATATAAAAAATTAATTAATGCGCAGATTACTTTACAATTAATTGTTATTTAATAAATTGATTTGACTGATCGATAAATTTAGCTTTCATTTCAAATTGAAAATAAGATAAGAAGTGAATATTTTATTTTATGTAATTTTAATTACAAATACATTCATTGTTATGTAAATAATGCATGGAAAATATATCCGACAATATAATTGCTTATTTGATGTGAACCATCCCATTTCAGTATAATATATTTTGCTTAATGTTTCGTATTGTATTCATACAACAAAACTTATCAAGCATAATTGGTGAATAAGATGGTGAAATCTTTTCGGAACTATTTTGTGTTTTAATATTTTTTATTACTGAAAGATTTTTTCTTCCTTACTTTTCATATTTCTCGTGAAAAATCTAATGTTATAAACAATCTGGTTTTTAATATCAAATTAAACTGACAACCAATTAATTAAATAATTATTGTTCACAAAAGATGAAACAGGTTCCAATATTACGCAAGTATTCCCGCAAATCNTATTTCTCGTGAAAAATCTAATGTTATAAACAATCTGGTTTTTAATATCAAATTAAACTGACAACCAATTAATTAAATAATTATTGTTCACAAAAGATGAAACAGGTTCCAATATTACGCAAGTATTCCCGCAAATCTAATCATTATGGACAAATAAATAATAAGATTCTTTTCTTACTTTACTTTAAAAGTTCATGAGGATCATAAGTTATAATCTAATATCAATACGACGAGAAATAATAATAATAATGGCCTGAAGAGTTATTGTTGTTACTGAAGAGTTAAGAGTTATTGAAGTGTATTCAAAAAGAGTTATTGCTTTCTATGGAACGAATTATTAGTTCATTGTATGAATTATTAGTTCAAAATCAACAAATAGTACTTGGACGAGTAATACCTTAGCGTCTTCGCATGAAATATAAGTAAGCATTGGAGGTTTTCAGATTGTTTGAAGCATTTGCCTGTAGTACAATTCTATAGAAATGAAATGAATAAAATGAGCTTAATTAACTTAAAATAAGTTAAACTCAAATTTTTAACAAATGAAATTCAGACTAGTGAACTCATAGTGAACAAGTTATAAAGTTTGATAATTGGGCATTACTTTCTCAATGAAATGTCTTTTGTTTGGATCAAATTTATTCTATCCCACACAGTTGCTATGGTAGCTGAAGGGGTACATATTAATTAGTAAAATATCGTGACTTTTTCAGTATAAGAATTAATTTTACTTCGAACTCTTCAGGATTCAACTTGGAAATTATTCATCGTTATTAAAGTTCACCGGAACATATTTCTGAGCGTCCTGAATAATCATATCGCTAGAATATTTCCCTATCAGCAATGGATCAAAGTTTACTTAACGATTATACAAATAAATTAGGGCAGTGATCGCATTTTTCAAATTTAATGATTTAATATTTTATTATTTAGAGGTGAAGTGAAAAGAAGTGAAGTATTCTTGGATCTGTGAGGTAAATTTTAATAGCAGAAATGTACAGTAAATAGACTGCTCCTAAAATTTTTTTTCCACTGATACTTTCGATGATAAGATCCGTTGGTTTCAGAAGGAAATGACGAGTAGAATATGTTTTACGGCTTTGTGCGAAATGTGGCAGAAAATTTTCATAATAAGCTCTTTGCCGATCCACGACTTATCGAGAATTTTAATTGGCAGTTCCTTAATCGTCTTTTCAAGTTTTGAAATTTTTAGATAAAAACTTTTATCAAAGATTAGAAAGCTTTCATAAATTTTGCAGACTCGTAGCTGTTCCCTCGAATACTTCACCTTCGGGTAAAATAAATTCCAAAAAATCCACAAGATCCCTAAAGCTCTAATCAGCTGGAAGCTTTAAATTAAAAAAAAAATTAGTCAAAATGTGGAAAAATATGGTCAAAACATTAAGTGTTAAAAAATTATCAAATTTAATCAATTGAAAATGTCTCAAATAATAATCTAAATTTATGAACGTACATAAAAGGTGAGATGAAAATGTTCGTTAATATCTTCTCCTTCTTATGCATTTGTTTCTCGTATGAATCATTAATCGGAAACACTGTTTTATACAATACACATTGAATTTATCGAAACTGAATTTGAATTTTACATATTTTTATCAAAATTGAAAGCCTTTGATGACTCATTGCAGACATGTCATTATGATTTTAGTCACGGAAGCTTTAAAAGCTTTTAAAAATTGTAGAAAAGGAAAAAATCTGAAAATACCATGAAATTTTTGATGAATGAAGCAAAAGGGAATATAATTAAGACAAATTTGTTTGCTATTGTTTTAATTTTCTCTCAAATTTATTGCTATTTAATTGTATTAATCACTCAGTTCAGCAAATTTCTCAGTCATTTACCACTAATTTCATCAATAATAAATTTATCGAATTTTCAGTATTGAAAATTTGAATTCATTAAAAAGCAAAAAATTAATATCTTAACTTTTATCACTTTTCATTGTTTTTGAATAAATAATTTTAGTATCGCGGAAAGTTTTTGTTTAAATTAATCGTACGATAATTCAATTAATAGATAGATTGTTACGCCTTTCTTTTTCCTCTTTCTTTCTTTCTCTCTCCCTCTCTCTATTCTTTTCGAGTGATTCATTTTGTTGCTTCCTCTTGTCGTTGGTATATTATTTGATTTATCACCTTTCCCTAAATTAATTACGCTAATATTAAATTTAAAAAATTAAGAAATCCAAAAATTAACCTAAAGGAAACTTTTGCGTAGCATTAATTTATCAAGTTCAAATATGTTTGAACTAATTAGAAATAATCAATCATTGGACTTAAAATGGTTCATGACAGCATGAAATGATCTCTCTTTAATCCTTTATTCAATTTTTAAAGAATTCCGTTTTCTTCGTTTTTCAGTAATAAAGAAGAAAATATTTGAGAAATACGATCGATCATCAATGCTTATCCAATAAAGTATTTGAGTGTTTGAAATGATTTCAATTTTGTCTTAGTATTTTTTTGAGAAATTTACGAGTTTATCGGATAAAAATTTGAATGAAAACTATTTTAGTAAATAAAATCACTCACAAATATTTCATTTCATAAAAACAATTATATTGTTTTGATTAATATAACAATAACATTTATTAATATTTCATAGAAATTGCTAATCATTTTGCAAGCTTTCTCACTTATTTATAAATAATATACTGTAGTGGTATCTTTTATTATTATACATTTATATTGTTTTATACGAACTTAATCGCTCATTCATTGCTGAAAATTTATCCATCATTAAAATATTGCAGAAGAGAGAGAAAGGAAAAGAAGACATAATAAAATTATGTAACAGAAGAAAGAAGATCAGATTTAAATTATCCGTCATTCTCTTTGGATTGATATCGTAAAATCATAATATTCAAATCTTAGTCAAGAATAGGAACTTACTGATATAATTCCTCTTTTACTTGTTATTCTAATCATTCCACTGATTTCTTATCACAGCTCAATTTGTTACAAACTGATTTGATGCAATTGCAATATTTGTCAGAAAATCGAAATTTTCATTAAAATGTTTAAAATTCTCAATTGAATGCATTATTTTTCAGGTGAAATTTGCCTACTGGACTCATTTGTACTGATGATATTATCATTTAATTAATTCTGATAGTCCTGTCAGCTACACTCTTACACCATTTCTTAGTGACCAAAAGCAAAAGTATTTCAAAGAATATAAATAGGACAATGTGCCTTTCATTCGTTGGACAACTTTTATTTGGAATCTTAATGGTCATTACATTTGGTCTAACCATTGCGTCAGTGTTTCTACCCGGTTACTAGCTTTTGTTAAAATTTATCTTATCTTTAATATTTTCAAATTATGCTATTTATTTTTGAAAAAAAAGATTAGAAGCGAATGTATAAAAAGGTCCTATTTACTTTGAGCAAAACATTCAATTAAAATTACAAAAATCTGTCATTTTTTCACGGAACTTTTTCAACTATCATTGCTTTTTAAAAGAGGCTTAATTGGAACCTTTAGTGACATTCTAAACCTTTAGTGACATTCTAAAGTAATTCCTTTTAATACCATGGAAATAAAGCCTAAGGGAAATAAATAAAATCTTCGCCAAGAAGATCCTATCATTAAAGAATTCAAAAAATATTATATCAACTAAATCAAAAAATCTTTTCACAAAATTGATTTCATATTATTGATCTCCTAAGAATTCATTTCATTCACAATTTTCAGATTTGAAAGAATTACAAGAAGTAGCAGCAAATATCACCGAAGATTTGAAACATTTCAGAATTCCTAAAGAATATGGTTCATTGGAATTGTTGTGTCGAATTGCATCAGCTCACAATGCCACTTCTAATGATGAAACTGGTTGCAAATATTGGTTTCACGTAAGTAGTTGAAATATTATGAGAAAAATCAATGATTGATTGTAGGATCATAGACTGAATCACAATTAGTGCTCTTTCGACGTTATGATCATCACGATCTTCTCGATCATGGTTGGTAAATACGACTAGCAAAAAATTATAATTAAAACCAAGCCAAAATATTGATACCAAAAAAATATCTTCCTTTATAGAACAATATTCTCGATATCCATAAATATATTTCATAACAGTAATCCCAAACGTGCTAAAAATTCATTCTCACTTAATTCTGATGAAATTCGCTAATTAATTAAAATCTAAAATCTTTTATAAATTGGTAAAGTTTGCAGTAGTCGAGTAAGCTTCGAGTAAACTCTGTAAGCTATATAAACTGCAGTCTTTTATAAATACAGATTATTTATTATTTTACCAATTTGTTTCTAACGAAATAAGTTGAAAAAAAAAGGAACCTGAAAATTATTTTCAGCAATTAAAAGATTGGGAAAAGATATTAGTAACATTGATGTGCACATCTTTGATTGCCGAATTGATAACTATTTTATGGACAATAATTTCATTCTTTGGATGTTATTGCCGAAAAATATGCATGCAACTGTTATCAATACTTTCATTAATTGTTGCTATATTTCTTGCTGCAGCAATTATTATTTTTGCAATAAACAATGAAAAAGTTATACGTATGTTTCTTTATATATATATACTCTATAATACTTAAATTAAGTTTAAAATTAATTTTACAAAAAATGCAATATTAAGACGGAAGATGAAATTTGTTCATTTAAAATTCACTAATTTCTGTGAAAAGCATATTTTTCAGAAATTCTTTTTAGTAACACAAATAATATCAAATAATTATCAAATATTTCATATCAAATAATTGTCAGTTATTTGATATGAAATATTAAAATAATACATTTATAGGGAGAATGGGTAGGTTGTGAAATGAAAGTTATCTATTTTAGATATATCTTTACAGGCAGACTTATCCATTTCATCTATTATTAACTATTACACTTACGTGCTATTAATCATAATCATTGTATCTATTCATTATCATGCTTATAATATCATATCTATCTCTTCCCATGCTACCCTATTCTTAAAGTAACTCTTCTTTTTCCCTAGAGTTTTCATGTATTCAAAAAGTAAACGTCTTTTCGTGGACGATTTATATTTGTAGATATTTCTTGTATAATTTCGCCTAAATTCAAAATTCTTTCAATATCTATCAATAATACTTATTCATAAGTTTCGCATTAGCTAATGGTTTTTTAAATATTCAATTTTAAAGAAAGTGAAAAAGATTATTTGAATCTAAATTAACTTAATGTTTGCAACAATATTTCTTGACATTAATATCATGTCTGAGATTTATAGAAACATAAATTATGCGTACTCTTATCGACTTACATATCACCTGTACGACCTACAAGATACTTCCAAGTTGGAATTTGTCATCTCACAAATGTAAGATCCAATCTCACATTTAGCATTATCCTTAACCTATTGTTTAATTTTATTTGGTATGCATAAAAATACTTATACGATAGAATCTGATCAAAAATGCAATTAACAAATCTGAATTAAATTTACACAATATACAGTATAAGACATTATTATATACAAAGTGAGTAAGTTTTAATTACTCAATTCTTGAGTAGGCCATAGTAGCGTTTTTTCATTTCTCTTAGTTTTAACAGTTACTTTGCTGGATTCAATGTCACACTATGCATCTTTCCTATTATGAAAATTTATCCTTTCTTTCGCCCCTTATCAATCTGGAATCTTGCTAGCAAAATGTTAAAATTTTTATCTCTCTAGAATGCCTTAGAGAAAAAAGGAAATTAAATTTTAAAATAAGAAGTGTAAGTGACACAGAACTCTTATATGATCCAATTACAAGCAGCATCATTCGTTAGCCATTTGAAAAAACACTTTTTAATCGAATTATCGGATAACAGCTCATTATCATCCTTTACTAATACTTCTATAAAACAAGTTCTAAGCTACATTTGGAAGAGTTATTCTCTTGGATTTCACATTCAAGTTTGAATTGTTTCATTAAAATTCTGCCACTTAAAGATAATTGCATTCATTTATTTTCAGATAATATTGATTTTGTTAATCTGACAAGAAGCCTTGAAATAAAAATTCATAATGAAGCTGAACGCAGGTTCTACTTAATATGTGGCGCATTAGCTGCAGCAATTACAGATGTCTTCATCGGCTGTTTGAATATATGCTTCCTGAAATTCTGTTGCTAGAGAAATCCATGAAGGTATGTTATGAACTTATTATGAACTAGGATACAGATGTATTCATAATTAAGTTATCAGATGTATTCACAAACGAAATTGGGATCCATGCAATTATCACTGAGAAATGCTTTCCTCTATTTTCAATTAAATTCCATTTTTAATTCGTGTCTGTTTATTTTGCTTTAACAAATGTTATTTAAGCATTTTCTCCACCATTGTAATATTTAACCTTGTAAAACCAATCACACAAAGAATGATTTTGGTCTTTTCAGAATTCCTGGAATACCCAAAATTTTATTTCTAATTTCGATAAGCATTATAATGGATTTCTGTGTAGAAAATTACTATGAGTTTATAAATTACACACATGTATATACAAATATAATAATGTAAGCCTTATGCATAAATACATAAATATGTATTATTACCATTTAACTTCTTTTTTTGTTTATTACTTTTAATTTTTGAAGTCTAAGAGATAATTAATTGCAAGATGTATTAATATGTATTAATGATGAAAGATTTTTTGTGTTCTTTACTTTGGAATTAATGGTATATTATTTGAAATGGATTATATCGTCCTCCTAAAATTCTTTTTAAATTTCAATTAAAATATTATTTTAATGAATTGAACATTTTATATGGAAGGAATTTTCTTTTGTTTTTTTCATTCAAATATTTCATCAAATGGAAATGAAATGAAAACAAACTTATACTTACCTTTTCTCAATCGATCCCTTCCATCCAAATCAATTCATCATTATTTACCAAACAAATTTAATAACTATGCAAGCATTTTCGGTATAATACAAAATAAAATTTTGATTCGCTTCGTAGGATACTTATAAATAATAACAACACTACTAATTATTTATTACTATTATTATTATTATTATTATTATTATTAATAGTACTAATATTTTTACTATTACTATGTGCAAGCGAATTGATTTTTTGTGTGTATTTAGTGCAGTTGGCTGTGTTAGATATTCTTTTGGACCAAAAATCAATTCGTTTTTTTCTTTTGTGCGTCTTAGATTACTATTATCTTTATCAAATTCATACAATTATCATTCTTACTATTTTCCGTCCATTTCACTTTTCAATTTGATCATTGAACTTTCCCATAAATCAGAATGTTAGGTAAATATAACCAATTCATTTATTAATTGGAAATTTGTGAACCAATGGACCAATGGACCAATGGACCAATGGACAAATGGACCAATGGTCAAAATACTTAGCGAAATGTTACTTTCTTAAATTTCGAAATCTTCGCTGATTCTAAAAAGATTAATTTCAGAATTTTTGATATAATTATCAAAAGAAAGAGCAACAATGTGTATTTCAAATATTGGTCAGCTATTGTTTGGTATAACAATGTTTGTCACATTAATGTTAACTATTGCTGCCTTTCTTACACCCGGTACAATGTTCAGCCTCAATTATGAAAATCGATATTCGTATCTGTTACCATTATATATATATATATATATATATGTAATCAGCAAATCTTCCGTTGCTTTTATAATCATTTGAAATATGCTCATTAAATGATTTACTATAATAATTGTAGCACTAGTACTACAACACTGTAAGCTGTTGGAAGATATTTGTTTAATATAAGATTAATAGCTGAAAAAATAAAATTTGGGCAAGCCTCAAATCAAATCAATCGCCAGTATAAATTATATGATTTACACAATAAACAATCTGGAAACTATCTACAAGATTTTTTACGGCATAAATTTCAAGGTTGGAGGTCATTTTCGGTGGTAAAAGATAATGAAAGCGAAGCGAAGAAATATTCGATGCCAAAAGCAATGGGACTTCTTCAGTGTACCTCATCCGTATCTGAAAATAGTCCTAAGATTGATTATTGTCATCTATGGCGCAATGTATGTCCCGATTTTTGGATTAAACCATTTTATAATTTGTTGAACAAAATGATAGCGTTGAAGACAGCTCAATTTGAGGCCTCCGTCTTTGCTTGTAACAAAGGCAGAAGCCTCAGATTTCTTCTGTACCACCAATGTCATACAAGAAATTTCAATTATGCTATAACAATCACTTTATTTTGAAGCGAAATGATTTGTATGATGCATTAACCTATTTGAATCCATCACCAAGTAATGGTGATACAATGGTCATACAATGGTCGTTGAAATATTTTCAGAATAAGCCAAAATGTGACGAGAATGTTACAAAATTAATGATTGCGACATTAGTCCTACAGATTGGTTCACTGATTTGGGTGGCTGTAACTTTCTGCGCTTGCTGTTGCCGTGAATTTTGGATTTTACTTCTACCATTAGCAGCTTTTCTATCCACAACAACGTTTGCCATTGCATTGTTCATATATACTCGAAATAATGGAACTGCTTTTGGTTAGTAGCTTTAATTTGAAATTTGAATTAAATTTCCAAAAAAATACCTGTAATTTATCATTTTCAGTCGTTTCTTTTTCAGCAATATCACAGAAAACAAAGGTAATTATATCTATTGTCATAATAAATTTACAAATTATTAATTAAAAATTTCAGACATACTAAATGAAAGTAAGGAAGCTGCATCAAAAGCTTATCATATTGATTTCTTTTATAGCTATTATATAGCTTTGGTTGCCTTATTCCTGTCCATTATTTGCATTTTGATCGGTGTTCTTGCTAAGAAACTTGCTCATATTTGTTGCTAACTGTGCATAGTTCATTTATGAAAAATGTTAAATAATATTATAATTCTTTCTTCTTCATAACTTCATGAAATCAACTGATCGAGAACAGATATATCATTTGCAACAGTATAGCAAACTTTTCATTTAGATTTTCTTAGAGAGAATAAAAGACAGAGTTCCCAATTTACTCTTTTTACAAATTCATATTTAATTTTTAAATTTCAATCTTTGTTCAACGGTAATTTTTAGCATCAAAACAAAGATATTTCTATATCGGAATTTTTTATAATATATGCAATAAGAGAGATTGCTTTTGTTTTTATTTTCATCTTTGCCTTTTTAATTGTAGAAAAGATTTGCTTTGTTGTGATATGTAATACATATTTTGAATTTTTTTATGCTTAAAAGTTTCTCTTGTCATTTGCTTGGAAATGTATCAACGAATTACATATTTGGTATTACCCTCACTTTCTGTGTCATCAAAAAAGGACGCATTTTAAAACACCATTAATTACACTATAAAATCTTAAAGTTTTTATCAAATAAATTAAAATCACAAAAGAGAAGTTGACAAGTGATTCAAATTTATTTAAACGACCCTAAAGATTATGTTGCAATTAATTTAGACAAAAAAAATGGAGTAGATATAAGAGATCTCTCTCTGGATAGATAGAATAGAGGTATGTATAATTGAGTAGCTAGCCTATAGTTATGGTACGAAATTTGAGATTTGCTTAATTGTAGCTTGAACTATTTGCTTAATTGTGACTTGAACACTTTCATTAGTGACAGTTTTACCGGCTGATAGCTCTGCCCTCTGATTTAGGTAAAAAGGGAAAGTGTATGAAACGTGAAATCGATTAGTGAGGAATATGCTCATTATTGTTTGTTGTTAATACAACCGATAATCATTATTATTGCATTTGTTATTATTATTATTACTAATTATTGTCATTAGCTACACTGTTATTACTACTGTCACTGATTTGAAAATTTAGAAATATATCGTAGCGACATATTCGCCAAATTAGCGGCTATGGAGTCAAAGGTACCAAAACAAGACAACTGAAGAGAATGATGGCAAAATTGACAAAAATAGAAATGCGAAGAAAGGGGAGGGTAAAGAGAGAGAGGATGGAGATAGGCAGTGTTGGTTTAGATAGAATGAAAAATGGATGGAGCGGTCAAATGAGTTCAGCAAGTTGAGATAGAGATTGAGAGTAAGTCATCGATGTAGCATTCAAACAGTATCTAAGTTTATTTAACTTTCCAAACCACTTGGTTGAGTTGCAGACCAAGGTTATACTTGTGAGAATTGTGTTTGGCGGATACATGTATTGACACGTTAAGATTTTTAACTGAAATAAAATATCATGTGAAATGTCTCAAGTTGCATTCCCTGAGGCATCGCACGAAATACGGAGCACATTTACTTTCGTTTGAAAATTGCATAGAGTATAACTTTTTAAACTTTTCTCCAAATTTTACTCCGGATGAAATATATTCATCTTTAAGTTGAATAGTCGCATAAAATATGCGCTGTATTGTTCCTTTGATCTCTACAACTAACATAATCCATCATGAGTCTTGGTAGCTTTAATTTCAATGTTAGGATTTTACAATTTTTCTGCAATATTACCTCAAAAAGGAATTCACGTTTACTTTGAATGGATATTTAAAATATAACCTTATACGTCAAGAAAGCTTCTTTTTTTTTACTCTGAATAAAATATATTCATTATTGCATTGAGATATTAATGGTTCAAGGATGTCGCTTGGAAGAGTATCCAGTCCGAGTGGCACCAGTGAAGCAAGTCAGTCTTCATCCTACTCAGCTAATCAACGGGTAAATTTAACTTCATTTATTTGTGCTTTAAAAATTACATAGTAATCTGATTTAAACATAAATTCATCTCGGTTAAGGACAGGTCCTCAAGATTAGATAGTAAAGCTGATGCATTCTAGTACCTAGTATTCGGCGTAGTAGCAGAAACTCATTGAATGCAATTAGACTGCAACAGTTAGTAAAACGGTACATAGTATCGTCTATGTATTTGTAGAAAGCAGGTAATTTCAATCTCCAAATTGTTTTATCATTGCTTTTTTACTTGTATTTTAACTACAAGTAATTGCTACTTTTTTTATTTTTATTTTCTTTATTTTTTTCTTTATTTTTATTTTTTCTTTATTTTTATATTATTTACTTTATTCCGGCTGTAGGTAATTGCTATCAAAAGAGCACTGATTGTTGGTCAAAATCGTTTCAGAGAAGTAGGAAATCGATGAAGCTATCAACTTCTCTTCGAAGTCCGTCAAGGATGCCCTTCAAACACCTCTCTACTGTTTATGTTGGTTAAATTTATAGTCTTGAAATACGATTATTGGTAATTCCTTTTTACGACGTGTTTAGTTAACCAATTAGTTCGATATAAAGAGTTGTTATTGTGCGCTGACATAATTCATTCGTAATTGTTCCTTCTACATCCGATTAAACATAGAACTGAACAAGATTCTTTGTAGATAAATATTTCAACATTATACTTTCTGAAATTCAATCTCCAAATTGTTTTATCATTGCTTTTTTACTTGTATTTTTTTTCACAATTTCACAATCCAGACAGCAGCCTTCATCTAATCATTTTTACCTATTCTAACTGAGAATCACTTTTCCTCCTTGAGGTACGTAATAGGATAAATTGTTATGGAAAACTATGATGTTTAGAAGAAAAAGATATTGAGTCCAAATGACAATTTCAGGAAGGGCATAAGAAGACAATATATGGTGTTGCATTTAGTCCGTACCTTATTGCTAATCCGCATTTTGCTACTGTTGGAGAAAATCGAGTAAGATTTTTTGTAAAAGCAATTTTTGACAGTGAAAGGTACTAGCATCTAAGAATTACACTTGTAATCAATAATAATTCGTTGCAATTTAATATGTCAGTAGTATCATTCTTTAAGCTTCATTTTGTACATTAAATTGCGATTTACATTCTTGAGCTCGATAAATTTATTTTTCTGATCTCCAAAAAAGTAATTTACGAACAAAGAGGGCTTTTTATGTAATTAATAAAGATCCTACTTTTTTCTAAGTTAACCTGGCAATTGATAGATTTTTCTATGTTCTATGCACAGCAATAAACATATTAAAAAGCTTGTCATGCTTTATATTTTATATCACTCAACTACTGGTGAGAAATTGTTATGGCCAGATAAATGAAGCGCGCAATGAAAAGTTATTTTTTATTAATCTTTTGCCAAAGCATTCAATTAAGCCAGTTCCAAATATAGGTATCGATATATGCAATCACGAAAGACGGCAACGGTGTAAAGCTGTTAAGAAGTTTCCACGATTCAGCGGTAAGGGAAATATGAGATTTTCATTGCATTTCATTTAAAAACTTGGATTGTTAAACTCCAATGCTAAACTTGATTTTTTTCTTCAGAAAACTGAATGGTTTTTTTCCGTCTGTTGGGCATATGATACTGAGAATGACGTGCATGTCGTGATTGCTGGTGGAAATCGAGGAATTATACGAGTAATAGATGTCATGACGGGTGATCTCGTTAATGTTCGTTTGTTTATTGATGTCTGAAAGTGTATTTCTGTAGATGTTTGGCATATAATGTAAAATAAACTACTGTGTTTGTAGTTTGCTTTTTCGGATTATTTATCATTTCATAATTTGCTGGGCATGATTTAAAATCATTTCAGAGTTTAGTAGGACACGGTGATGCTGTTAATGACGTTCGTGTTTTTCCAAACGATTCAATGATTATTGCTTCAGCCAGCAAGGATTTCACAGCTAGGATATGGAACATTCACAACAGTGCTTGTTTAGCTATTCTAGGAGGAGTTGAGGGCCATTTGGATCAAGTTATATCAGTGGTAAGCGAATAGTTTTCCAGATGGTTTCATTTTACAGCTTTATTTTCTAATTTGAATACTCATTTTTAAATAAATGTGACGCTATTGCGTTTTTCATAAGAGTTATACACTATCTCTTAATGAAATAAATCTGTAAGTTATCTTATAAAATGCTGCAGTTTATTTTATAGGATTTTGATGCTGAGAGTGAATATTTGGCATCGGCAAGCATGGATCATACCGTCAAGTTGTGGTATATAGGAAAGGGGAGTGGTGTTGATCGGCTAGTTGAGCAATCTAAAGCTGATCTCAGAGTAAATAGTTTCTCATATTATTTCTTACCGATGCATTTAATTATTAGTTTAATTACTCAACCTGCTTATAAGTATATGCATGTTATTTATTATTTAAAAAAATTTGTTATTGCAATATTAACCTCTTACCTGCAAGTGCATATCGCTTGTGGTTTATAAGCAAGTTGAAAATGATACCTCTGATATTGCTAAAAGCGTTTTACAGCTGGTTGATTTCCCAGCCGAAATACATTATCCTCGTTGTAGCACACGCGATGTACATACCAACTACGTTGATTGTGTTCGCATTTTTCATAGGCTTATATTTTCCAAAGTGAACTTTTCACCTTATTTCGAGTTAATTTTGTTTATCTAAGTTCTTATGGATATTTGAAGATTGAGTAAAAACTGTGAGGGAGGATTAACCAGGTGGGTAGTGGTAATGATTAGTACATTTTCATAATATACATTTGGAATCTGAAGAATTTTCTAAAAAATGAACCAAAATTAATTCCAGTCAACCGAAAATGAAATCGCTTTATGGAAATTTGGTGACTTTGACGATCTGGTCGCTGGGCAGGGCAACAAGGTAAAGACCGAGACATGCGTTATTCATTTTCGCCAAATGGAATTACCGGAAACTAATATGTGGTATATTAAATTTGAAATTGATCCATTAGAAAAGGTAGTTTATTTGACTTTTTTTGTTATCACTTTACTTTTGATCTCGTCCAAATTTTGATAAATCCCACTTCTCAATAATATGCTGAATCCGATTTTTGTCTATCATTGTTACTGTTAGATATTGTTCGGCGAGAAATGATATAGTTGGGGCGTCAGAAGTCTCAGTCCTACTTTAATGTGCAACGGTTTATAAAGTAGTAGAATGTTCTGTTGTTGTGTACTTGAAATTATAGATTACGTATTGGATAGAGATGCCACATCTGAAAAAATTCTCTACAAAAAAGTGAAAGGCCTCTAGAAATAACATCTTATAGTTCCTTATTATCAAATTTCAGTATCTTGTCTGCGGTAACCAAAAAGGTGAAATTTATGTATGGGAAATTAACAATGGTTCACTGCCATCCATAAAAAGGTTTATATTTCATTTTCTTGCACTCATTTCATGGACAGTATTAAAAAAAAGCTGGGTAATTTATGAAAGGTTTTTCTTAGAAGTCAAATATTCCTCGACCTTATAACTTTGATTTTTTTGAGGAGTTTCGGTTTTATACGTTAGTCATTTCAGCAAATCCTTTTTTTGATTCCGTGAATTGCATTTCCAGCAACCATGTACTTCGTCCTAAAGATATCGGGTGTGCCATAAGGCAGATTGCATTTAGTCCATGTGGTCAGCATATGATTGCAGTAGCTGACGATGCAAGTATATCCAGATTTGCAAGACGAATATGAAATTTACATACGAATTGTATCATTATATTTCACAGATGTAGTTTCCTCCAATCTATGAATTGAGCATCTGATAGGTAGGTTGAAGTTTCAAATTTTTTAGTTTAGAAATTATTTCTCATCATTGCTATGGGTATTCAGAGTGTTTTTCACATATTTTCCCGTATTGCTCGTCACTTCATTTCTTTTCAAAGAATTTAGAGATCTCCCTACCTCCTGTTGTAATACATTAAATTATCTTTACTTTGATTTTAAACACAGGTTGATTTATTTTGCTGAAGTTTCGTCTTCAACTTTGCATTTGTTTTAAACTATTCCTATTTTATACTTAATTCTTGTTACTCTGCATACAGTAAACGTGTAATTCTTTTATTTGTTGAAGAGCATTGTCTAGTAACAACAATAGGCGTGGATATATAGCAAATTTATGTAGATGAGCAATTAGTAAATTCGTTTATCTTTTATATTTTAGCTGTTATTGACGCCAACTATCTGTTAGGTTTCAGATATGATAGTTGTTAAGTGAAAATGGTGATAGCGGTTCAATTTATTGTTCATAATGCCTTATGCACACGTGTATTTAAAATTTCTTTCGGTGATTTTCTCTTTATCACTATGAACTGGGACTTTTAAACCGTTCTGAATTCGAATTTAAAAGACGAGAAGAGCAGGGGAGCACTAACTTGGGAGTAGATTAACCATCTGTTGAAACAGAAGTATCACCTACGTCGTGGAAGATAATAACCCCAATAAATTATATTAAAAATGGTAAATAAACTCGGAAATAACATTATGGAAATACGGTCTATGCGGTCAGCGGTCCAATGACTTGTGTATTTCTGGAACGGTAAGCGTGCTTTCCGTAGTCGATTTTTAGAAGTATCATTCGGATCCAGAAGTATTGCCTCTTTCTGATTTGAGCGAATTGAGCTAAATATATTTTTATCCGAACATAGGATTAAAATTCAATGATTGATTTCAAACTTGAAATTTACAAGAATTTCAGTAAAAGTTTCTGTCCCTAATCCATGTGAATGACATGAAAAAGACTTTTCCAGTGCATTGAATCATATATTGCAACATTTGAAATGTCAAAGCTTATTACCCTAATTATCACGAGTCAGTGGATTGCTACGTGAGATCTCGGAAGTCAATTTTAAGATTTAGAAACCACCAATAATAATTGGTAGTTTCTAAATTTCAAATCTACATAGTCATGAATATTTCAATCTAAAATTGATAGACTTAGAATATGTGAGTGAAAAGATCCTTTCCGATAATATTTCGAGCTATTATGCGACTTTTGTCTTCATCCATGGATCGATTGAGCTAATTTATGAATTAGTTAATCATTTCGAATATTTAATTTGTTGCAAAAAATTTACTCAGAATTTGGAAATATAAATGAAAATAAAGTACCATAACGCATTTACCTGGTACTTCTCGTAATGATGTTATCAATTTTCTTATGATTTGTGATCGGTGATTCTTTCCGATTAGCGTATGTCAAGGATGATCGACTACGTCTCTTCAGAGGTTTCTTTACAGCAACTGTCTAAATTGGTGATAATGCAATTATCCTGACTGTTTTAATGCTAAGGCTTATCTCAAACAGATTTTTAATGATATTGTCATGCGAACCGAAATTTTGTGTTGAAAATATTAAAATCATCAAGGGGTTAATTATTTCGAAATTTTAAGTTGACCCTTTGTTTACTTAGCTCTTTATGTCTAAAAGGACTAAAAGGACAAATAGACTTTAAACAGCATGCTTCGATTCGGTTCAGGCAGTACTCATTTTAGCAGTATCGTCACTACTAATATTATGACAATTTTCAGCCAGGAATATTAACAAATAGCGATCGACTCTACCCATGTTATACTTCAATAATTGTCTTATAATATCCGACAATAAACTCTCGGTCAAAATAAAATCATTATCCAGCCTATTCATCTGGGCCAACAGATACTATAATATTTGCTGCGAAGGGTTTATCTCCAACATATGTAAACTTACATTAAGTGTTAAAATTTTAAAGCTATTTTGTCTTTAGATTTCTTGTGATATGAATCCTTACAATATTGATAAGATCCCATTCACTTGTGTTTTGTTAATTCACGGAGAAAAGTAATGAATTGAAATTTTAGAATTAAACATTAACTTACTTCACCACGAGCACTAACTAAACTGATAATAGCCAATTCAAGAAGTGAGCAAAATACAAATGAAAGGCACGATAGCATCCAAACATCTGAAATAATTATAACATGTAATAAATATCCTCTTATAAGTTTTAGTTTTGGGGTTAAGTTTAAAAATTGTATTTTTGAAAAGGAAATTTATGGCGTTGCAATAAACGAAATAGTATTGCTAACCGAACGCTTTAACATAACTGACACGAGGCAAATTTCGCATGATGTTACCAAAGTGAAATGTAAGAGCAAGAAGTGAATTGACCCCAAGCATTGTACGTGCTGGGATCATTTTGATACTGAGACAAAAACTGATCCAACTGAAATTAATAAAACTTCTAACGATATTTCATTTTCATTTATAATTTTTAATTTTTGTATAATTTTTGCAGAATAAAAAGAGGAAATTTTCAGAAGTACTTTGAATGATTTAGGTATGAAATTAAAGAGAATTATCATATCTTAAAGAACAATCGATGTATAATCCACAAATTATATGTGATAGAACTTTGCATGTAGTAGAAAATAATTTCACTTTGTAAATAATAGAAAGTAGTAGAATTATATGGATTTCTGTAACTCGAACCCTTTCATTTGTCCTAAACATACAGCCTTACTGCAATTATCTTACGCAGTTTCTCTCAAATCAAAATTTAGTTTTAGATTTTCGAAATTTGCAAACGAAAATTTCAAAGGATTGCTCAACAACAATTATATACCCGAGGATAAAATATTCATTGATGCGTTTCATAACAAACTGCGAATCTACTTGATAGAAAACATATCTTTCTTACAAACTGATAAGTTATGTATCCGCATGAGGGATTAAGGCTGACAAATCTAAGAAACTATTTCCATGATAAATTGTGGCGTCTAACAAACTGATATGCTATGTATTTTTTACCTGATGAAAATGGTAAGATAGGTTGGAACGTACGCTTGAAATATATACCATCCATAACGTCTGGTAAACGTAAATGTCATCGTTAGCTCATTCCAAATACCAGCAGGATATGTCTGTAATAGAGCTTTAGTGATGTTCATGGATTTAAAAAAAGCTAGGAGCTAATTAGTTAATGATATTTAAATAGCTTTAATTTAAAATTCTTAGGTGTGAAGGCCACGGCATAAATCTGAAGCCTTAGTCAACACTAATTGTTTTAAAGTATTTGAATTAACACTAATCGTTTTAAAGTTTCCTTCGGGCATTTAAAATAAATGACATTTTTAAAATGCTATCGATTTATTGTATTCCAATTATTATGAAAATGTCTCTCTAATAATATTAATTGACACTGTGATCGAAAATCATTGCATAAATGAATTAAATAATTTTACAATGAAATTCAAAACTAAACAATTGAAATTATAATTTAAATTACGCACCACAAGTTCCATAGATGTGTTATAACTGCTAAGTACAAAATCAGGTAAAATTATTTCATCTTTCAGCAATATTAATGGCTCTTTCGTATTGATCCACCTCATGTCAACTTCCTGAATTTATTGAAATATCAAAAAGCAATAATGAATTAATGCTTCAATGATTCAAAAACTACTGATTATTGAATCAAATGCACAGTTGACAGATATTTATGCTTCTGATTTGATCATTTACTCATTAGCAAATTTTGATCCTTTTTATTTGGTATTATGACAATGCTCCCTGTATTATTTGAGCGCTCAACTTTTGAGCATCAAGAAGTAAACATTCCTCAGGTTAGTTCATTTCATCTTTCATATCATTTATCCGACAATTTACACACCTCAATGGTCATCTTTCTCCCAAAACACTCCATTAAAACTTTAAATTTAATTAAATATTAAGTTTCTGATTCTAATCGACTAATAAACAGAGAAAGTAAAGTGGTAACTATTTACTGCAATACTATTAATAAAGAAATTGCATTAATGCCTTTAGATAAAATTCAGTTTGATGTAGAAATTTTTATAATTAAGCTTTTTTTGAGTTTTTTTTTTGTAGAATTTTATTTTCTGAATTTGAAGCTGTACGAAGAAAGAGATTTTATGGAAAAGATAATTATAGCAAATTTGAAACATTTCATAGATTCGCTTTGTTTGTGACAACTGTAAAGCTGAAATTTCATGAAACAGCGCACCTGATTGTTGTAACTGAAGCTTTCAAATGTTAGTAAGCATTTCTGTTCATCCATTGGAAATGAAGTAAAATCCATTTCACATGGACCTTTTACCTGTACTCTGAAATTTCCAGGCTGTAGTAATTTTAACAGAAAATTTTAATCCCTCTGGAATCCGTTTTCAACAACAATATATCAAACATCATCTAACGGTTGAATTTATATCCGATACCTCATTATATTAATTTTTTTCATAATTCATCTACGCTTTTTCACTTATAAAAACGGTCTTCATTACATAGAGAAAAATAATTAATTTCGAATACCTGTAATTAGCCCACACAGTACCATTCGGATAAATCATAAGGAAAAGATTGGTGAAAGGTGATTTGTGTATGCTCGCTGATTTACTATTAATGAACACTGTATTAGGCTTCCAAATTTGATCTAAAATCTGAAAGTTTTCTTCTAACTATGAATTCGTCAGAAAATTTGTGATAATATTGTTTGAAGAAAATTACGGATGATTCATAAATTATGAAGACAAAAATTTTGGTCAAAAGGTATGGACAGGTGTGAATTTGTTAAATCATCCTATTTTAATTTTCAAGACAAACAAAAAGATGATATGAGAAGTTTATGCAAAAGATATGTACAAAAATACTGATAAATTAGTGAATGGTATGAATATTAATTGTTGCGATTAGCCGGATATCATTGAGTTTCAGTTGCAATCTACATAAAACATTACCAGTCCTTGCTTGCCTTGTAAACGACTGGTGGAATTAATTGCGGTAATTCGTCACTTGAAAAATTTGTCTGCCAACTCGCAACATTACACTATCAGACTTCTATTGCAACCTTTTTATCTGAACTATAAGTTTATATTGCCATAAAATTTTCCATTCTATAGTTAATAGTGTATTTGACAAGTTAACAGAATTACTTCATTGCTAACTGATAAATTATATTTGCATGGGTTCATGTCGTCGTATCTGAGTGCTTTATCAACCCATAATTCAGTTACATAGATATCCATGTCAAAATCGGACGTTATTTCGTTTACTGAATTTACTTCTTGTACCCATATCTAAACATAGTTCTTTTGATATTCCTTACCAGAAAATTATGGCAACACTAAATTTACATGAATGACGACTGAATTGAGTAATTATTGAAAATGTATTTTCATCAGTTTTTGGAGCAACTGCAATTTGAAATCTGATTCATGTAAATTAAAGATGTTTAAAAATAACCTTCAAATTTTAGTTATTTAAATTAAATCAAACCTCAATCCAAACAGCGACACCTTCTTCTGATGGAGTTTTACATGCTTTATATTTTTGCAACAAAGTTTCAATTATTTTTTTATCCGATGTACAAACATGATTAATTTCATTATATTCCACGTCAATGACTGATGATCTCACACTTTGCATGGGTAATTCCACTGAAAGAAACCTGCTGAATTGAAATTTTAGAAATTAATTTAGAATACAAAGTTTTGAAACCAATAAAAAAATCAAAATTATTTTCACTGCTTTTCGATTGATAGCAATACAATTTTTCATTTAACCAAAAGAAGATTGCATAAGATTGTGATAATATAAGTGACTTATTATCGCCTATTTTACAAAATTATTTACGGAATGTGTTTTAGAAAGTTTCATAAGAAATTCAATTTTAAAAATCTTTATTCAAATTATTAAAGGTATGCATATAATTAAGCGTCAACTTAATTTATTTGCTGGAGTTAGATTATCATAGAGTGAACTAAATAATCACTAAAATTATCTTTCGCTAAATGGCAATTGTAACTGATGATACCATCTATCATTGAAGATAAGGAAAACTTTAGCATAGTCAGTTCTAAATTGCGTAACAACAAACAAATGATTTACTCACTTGTTATACTGTCATCTAATACTTTAAAGAATTCTGGCACATTTTCACTTTTTAGGATAGATTGGTTTAGCTGAAAAAAATGGATGAAATATCTTTAAATATTAATTGATTGCACTCGAATTTTTCCAAGCACATATACACATATTATAGGGTTAATTGCTTGTTAAAATTTCACTCCAAATTATATATTAGATTAAAGAAGTTAATTGAATCTTTTCGTCATATCTCAAACAATCGATGATAGTTTAACTATCGAATTACTTAAACGGAATTATCTATGAATCAGTGAATCAATGACAGGAATTTCTTTTAGATAATCTCTTCAAATTAATGTCCGCAACAAGTTACTAAGTGATTTTGTTGTGAAAAGTACATTGGAAAGGCAATTTTTGTGAATTAATGCTAGGGTTTTCACTTTACTATGGTGTATAAGCTATACGGTATTCCGGTTGATATTCAACAGCCTTTCTGAGTTCGGCCAAATAATTTGTTGTTCTGAGCATAAATTTCCCAATGATATTTCTGGAAAATTGGAATTAATTCTTTGAATAAATTATGAAATGCGCATTAAATAATTTGGTTTGTTTACCTTAAAATCTTCCAATCCATTCCGAAGATCAACCATATTCTTATGGCCATGTTGTTTCCGATTGAAATTTAAATCTTCAGAAGATGTCAAGTGAGAATACATCAGTAATAGTGGAATGCTATGAATAGATAGGACATACATGATAAGCTTACTGCATTGAACCTGTCAATAGGTATATGATTTGGAAATCATTGATATAATATTTCACGAAATGCGTTAAATGTTATTAGCACTATTAATTTTAAAAATCTTCATTAACAGTCAGACATGGATGGAGGCTTTTTGGTTTGCATAAACAATATGTCTTTGAGGGATCTTTTTCTTTACAAAACTCATTGCGATATGAGTGAAAATACGAAATTCATTCACCGAATTCCACTTTGCATTTATGATTGGTATTGTTGCATAGTCTACGATTTATTATTCTAATATGGTATTGATGTTTCATTATTTAATTTTGATCTGATTTTAAAAATTAAAATTCAACAAGTTCCATGTTAAATTTTATCAAAATTATGAAGTGAGCAAAAAGGATAACGCGGTACATAAATTACATCTGATCGCAAATAAGGCGATTAAAGGATGAATAAGGAAAATATTTACAGCCTTCAACTTAATTTTTGCAGATTAGATAGTAAGGTACTTGAAGTAGTCAAGTGTTGACTAAGGCTTCCTATCAATGCCAAATGCCATAATAACCCGAAATAGATATTCGTAAGAAAACCGGAAGAGATAGGAAAAAGACAAGAGGATTGAATAATCTGTTTAGCAATGCTTTGTGTTGAATAGTAATTAAAATTGCCATACACATATCCATTCGACAATATGAATTAAACAAAATAAAGAGATGAAAGGGATTTACAAGATGCTTAAATATGATTAAATTGTAAAAGGAAATAAAATTGGAGACGATCTGGAAAATTTTATTTTTTATTAGTCTATTGAATCAAATTTCATTATGGCGATATTTAAAGTTAAAGATAGCAAAATTCAGAATCAGTTGCCATATCGTTTTAAATTTTAATTTTTCAACTGCTCATTACAATTGAAAATAAATCACATTGACATTTGTTACCTTTTCTTTGAAGTCTAACAACAAATTTAAATCCTTCGATGAAATAATCATAACTATAATTGAGAAATTATTTCCAATAATGAAATTTAGTAATTAACTCTTCAATTTGAAAGAACTGGAAAAGAGACCGGAATGATTACCGCCTGTGCAGAGAAAAAGGAATAATAATATCGTCGCAGTCGTTCTAACATTTGCCGGTTAAATTTTGATAGCCATTTTGATATTCTGCGCAGACGAAAGAGATAAATGGAACAAAGGACTGGCGCTAAGAGGTATCAAATATGCAAGGGAAAATCTCTAAGCTGACAAAATATTAAGAAAAAAAAAGGATAAATTGCTTGTTTTTTCTTAAGACAATCAGTGAAGCATATGAATTATAAATTTATTTCTAACCAAATTATTCCCGCCAGATTATTCTGTTATGTGATATTAAATCATAATTAATTAAAAAACATTCTTTTCGAACTTATCACTCACTAATGAGATAATATCACTGACTGATTTGGTGTTAAAAAGGTATATCATTGAAAAATTAAAAAGCAATTCGAAAGTTCTGAAATGCAATCTTTTACATTTATCGAATGGTATTTACCTTTTTATTCTTTGCAAGTTTTGAAAAAGAAAATCTTCCGCTTGCTTTTTTATCCAAACTTTGTTTAATATTTTTTAATCATTCAATCCGATGAGAAGCTTTCCTTTTCTGAAATTAAGAAGTTTTCTGCAATTGGAACCAATAATATATTTCACTTTCATCTTCGACGTATCCGACGTATCCGATGTATCCAGCAGAGAATAACACTATCTCAACCATCATTTTTCTGTTACAAATGAAGTATTAGTAAATTAAAATTATTAATTATTAATATTTGGAAATCTAAATGGTCAAAAAAAGTGACGTAACAGTAATGTCGCTTAAATCTTATAGCTAAAAATAATTTGTAATTAGCAAAAAATTGAAAAGTAGGCTCTCATTTAAAGTAGGCCAAATTTCGCAAAATGGCAAAGTTTGAAATTTACAGAATAAAATTTTTGGGTTTATTATTTGTTAATGATATATTTCTTCTTCTTCTCTGCTTCTTCTTCTTCTTCTCTGTTATCTTCTACTTCTTCTCCTTCTTTATATTCATTAAAAATTAGGAAGCATAATATTCATTAGAAGTTGAGCAAATGAATGAAAAATGATAGGACAATAGGAGATAGTAAAAATAAAATAAAGTTAAAGATAAATGAACTTAGAATAATTAATGAATAGTAATCATTTAAATTTCGGTTTCAATTTGTGAGAGTTATTAGTAAATGACAGATATGAATAACAAAGCGGAAAAACAATTACTTTACATTTAATTTTAGGGGCCAAATGATAAATGATAATATGTGATTCATCCCAATGAATGCCTTCTGCAAGAAATACTGACAGTTTTAGTATCTAACGGTTTCTTCAATTTAATTAAATTAAATTTTATCTTATTTTAATTCAAATATGTTTAAAATTTATTTTTCTTTTTTGATGATTATAAAATAAATATGAAACATTCACAATTTGTCATTTAATGAAATCATAATTAAGCAATAATTCTACAGGAAAGTGAACGGCTTGCTGCTGTATTAAAATAATTTTTAATTTGTGAAGATAATATTTCATTTAATTAATGCTTTAATTAAAATTTTCTTGAAATTAGAAATCTTTTAAGTCTCTGAAAGCTTTCATTTGAAATTTGCTAAATTTGTCAAAAAATCCAAGGAATGTTAAATTGTCAATTGAACTGACAACTCTTTGTTTCACTTTTATTCTAAAATTCAAATTAAAAAAATTAATGAATAATAGAAGCATTTACCTTCCGAAAAGATCGCAAATTCAATTTTGAAACTTTTATTGTTAAATAGTAAATTTTCGGTTAATTTACTTGCGTGAAAAATGGATGACGTACGTATGCGGGAATTTGTAATGAAAATAAAAGAATTTTCTTGAGGAGAAGGAAATTTTTCATTTATTATCAAAGAAAGAATTTGATATTTTTAAAATTCAGCGCAATGAAATTTGGCAAAGTAATTTTGCAATTATTTTACTTAAAAATTTTGAAATTTCAAACACATTTGAAAATGAGCAAACAAAAAGGAAACATATGAGTAAATAATTATATATAAGAAATGATTCGCATTATATTTTCAACTTCTAATGGAAACATACTTTCAGATAGCTGGTATTTAAACAAGGGAAAAATTGGTTTTTTTTATCGGATATGACGAATTTTTGAAATTCTGCATTTTCTCATTTTCACATCTGATTTCAATTAGTCTCACAGAAACTTGAAGTAATTATAACATCTGGTAATGCTTTGTTATTAGTCATACATTATTTATACTTTTATTCAATGCTATATCTTTTTCTTTCAGTTAACAGTATATATCGTTCTGATTGGTAAATTATGATTGGATGAAGTTGTGATGGTGCTTCAAACACATTTTGCACATTACGATGAAGTGAAATATTTTGATAAATAATTAGTTTCATAGAACGTTTGGTGCAAATACATTTTGAAAATTGAATCATACATTTGATTAGAAATTATGAAATTTGAAGCATTTGTAGAAGAAAGAAATACAGAAGTTATTTGTTTTATCGAATTCAGTTGATAATTAGCTAAGGTCTCTTATCATATACCGCGGAGAATCGACGATAGAGAGAAGGTTCTTGCTTCACACTTATCCAGATCTTTAAGAAGTATTCTTCGACAATTGTGCCAGTCTGTATAGTATAGAAAATCTAATTTGAAGAAAGTACTGCGAATGCGATGTTCTTACTGAAATGTTCATCGTTAAAATTAGTAAAGTCTCTACAAGCAAGAGATTTTGTTTAAAATTTTGATCTGTTTATTTATCACCGGTAGGTTCTCATAGTTTATTGTAATGAGAATAAAATGATTAGATAATATCAGCATAGTTTGCGATTTAAATGATTGCGGTTAATGATTATCACCGCAAAATTTAAATTTCCTAATAAAGGTGAAATAAGAAAATAGTTGCAATAGCTATAATAAGACAAAATTTAAATTTCGGAAGTTAGATTTAGGTGAATATAATTTTATAATATTTAATAAGGTATCGTAAGTTTGATTATGCTTAACATTTTTTTGAAACTTTTCATATTTATTTTGATTAGATGCTAATATCTGAAAAACCAATAAGAAATAAACATATCGATAAAGCATCTATCATAGTTAGTGACAGTCAAAATTGATCACACTTATAAAATAAATGTGATAGGCACTTTCACGCTAATTTCAATTTCCTTTATTTTTAAGATTTATCTCAATAATAATAAATTGTTTATTTTGGTACTTTTACTCAGCGTTTTATTTTGCTTCTATATTCTACTTGAGTGATCATAATTCAATATTTTCTGTTCAATTCTTAATATTTGAATTTATTTGACAAAATTGTGACTTGGACAAAATAATATGAATTGCGTCTTTCTCGAACGTTGACTTTAATGCCAAATTTTGGCACCTGCAAGTGACAACATCAAAGTGCACGATTTGCAGACATGTCTTACCTGTTGAAACAATGCAAATTCAATTACAACGAGAAAAACTTTTAGGAAAGCCAACATTAATAGATCAGTATTATAATACACACTATGTGCATTTTTTTAAAAAATTAAACAAAATCACAAAAATTTCTTATGGCTACAGGTTTTAAATAAATGGTATTATCATTTCTGCCAACTCTGCCAACCTATCAAACATTTTCTTTGATTAAAATGTTTGAATTTTCCGAAATTTTTTCACTGTCCTAATTGTGCATATAAACAGCAGATAAGGAGGATCAAAAAAGATGAAACTGGCGATTTGAGGATTTTCAAATATTTATGATTCATCCGGATTAAATTCAGAATTAAAGTTTTTTCAAATAATGGTAATTTATAAATTATCCTATCGTACAAAAGTTTTATCGCCCAGCAGTATTAACTCTTTTTTTTCTTACAAAATTTTAATTATGTCATTATCGGTACATTCGTGTGCCGACTACGTCTTCATACCTTAACCCTTAAATTTTCATTTTTCTAGTTTCAAGATTTTCTATATCCTCAGAATCCTGCATGTTTAATATTTCTTAGACAAAGCTTAGGAACAATTCGTTATGGTCTTTTAAATTTTAATGTTACGTTCAGTTGGTTGTTAAAAGATTAGATCTCAAAATATGACACAATTGTAATACAAAAAGCACATATGCCGACAATGAATCTCAGTAGAAAGAAAATAGAATTCAAAGGCAAAAATTCTTCGAATTAGATGAGATATTCTATTTAACTGATATTATTCTTATCCCAAGGAATAAATCTCAATCAATGATGGTAAATGCCAGTGCTGTAAGTCAAAACTAACTTTTAATATGTAATTAAATATAACGTTTCCTTCTGGTAATATAAATTATGCTTATGTAACGCACATTAAAGAAAATTTCTACATCCTAGATATATTTGATTTAATTCAAATAAAATGATCATATTTTCAGGATAAAAAATCACAACAGGATAAAATGTATTCGATTTTGCTCTAGAAATACACGTTTATTTTCATTTAGGTAACTTAGTACTTCTCTAAGTATTTTTTTATTTGTTAGTTGGATGATTTAAATAAGGTTAATTCATTAATTTAAGTTATTAAGGATTACAAACCTTCTGCCTAAAGGAGCTGAACTTTTGAGCAAATCGAATTTTAGCATAAATTTCAATTGAATTAAGAAGGAATAATTGCCAAATAAATAACAACAAAATAGTTTCACTTATGGACCCAACCGGCTCATTGAAGGTGGGAATAGAATAATGAGAGATGTAGAATTCATATATACAATAAAAAATTTAATGAAGAAGGGTTCGAACAATAATATTATATGAAAGTTTGCAAGCAGAATCGGTCAACTGAGCAGGCACTCAATAATAAACCGATAAAAAGGAAATATGATATCACACTTCAGCAAGCTAACAAACTACCATATAATTCAAATCAAATAGTTGACACATATTTTAAGCAATATCAATATGGAAAGAACGTCGGAGATTTTAATGTTTAACAGAAAATAGAAGTAACACATTAAGAAAAGAATTTTAACTTTGGGTAAATTATTAGGTAGAAATGATATTAGGTAAAAATACTGTTTTCGCATCTTAGTCAGTTAGTAATGAGATAATTTCGCATTTCAATGCATATGAAATAGCATGTTTAATAGTAACAGAAATATTTGATTTTATTTATATTATTTCAATTGCAATCAAATTCTTAATCCAATGATTTGTAAGTCTTAATTAGTTAATTAAATACCTAAAGAGTCCATCTTGCCGATATAACAGTAAATCTTAAAAGTTAGGCAAAAGATGCCTATGTTCAGAAAATATACATATAATTCGTTCGCAATTGTAAACAAATATATGAATACTTTCTATGGTGCATTTAGAAACCATTTAAGTTTCTTTAGTAATCAACGCAAAACAAATCATTATCACTCTTAAAAATCACACCGAAAGAAAATATCAAAGCAACAAACTCTTTGCTTATTCCAACTCAATTTCTAAACACCGAAAATTAAAAGAATTATACTTAAACAGCAATTAACTAAGGACAAGTAATATGAAGGATAGAAGTTTAAGTTTAATAGCGAGAGAACATGGGAATGTAAGAAAGCACAGTAAAGTAAGATAAGTTAAAGGCATATAAAGCTGTGGCAATTTAAAAAATATGAGAAAAGAAGGTTAATTAAAAAGTGTATGAAATAATTTAAATTCATATATAAAGAGAAAAATTAGTGGTAAAGTGTAGACAAATAAAGGGGAAGAAAAAGCATGCAACATGCAACATGCATGTTGCATGCTTTGTGTATCTTGCAACAAATCACATTTGTTACTAATTTATATAAAATGTAAAGTAATTTGGAGGGGAAAAAACAAAGTAATTAAAGAATTAAAGGAAAATGCAAAAACGAAATAGTTAAAAGAGAAGAGAAAAGTGCAAAAATGAAGTTAATAATGAAAGATAGGCAAAGAAAGTCAGTTAAAAAACATTCAAAATGCAAAATAAAAGGCATTCAAAAAGTGGAAATTACAAAAAAGTGCAAAGCAATTTGAATTTAAAAAGGCATGCAAAAATGCAGTCAACAATACAGTAAAACATAAAAAGTATATGTAACGCATAATAAACAAAATGCAAGTTGCAAGAAATGCAAAGTAATCTGAATGAAGAAAAAAACATGCAAAAGTGATAATAATAAAATGTTTACAAATATTAGCATAAAACTACCCACCATAAATGAAGCATTTTACAATACATTTGATTAGAGAAATCAATCAGATATCACTGATACTCATCAGTTTCCAACAGCAATATTTCTTCATGATAGCAACCGTTGGAATCATGTTTAAATCATCTTTTTGGAATGGAACTATTACTTAGCAAAAATTCCTTATACCAAATCGGTCATTTAATGTTTCTTATGTTTCAATACAATATGTGTGTATTTTGTATTGCGTTTTGCAATGAGGGCGAAGATATTAGAAATTAAAGAAGACATCAACAGCAGCAAGAATCCGTTGAAATAATACAAGTATTTTTGTAGTATAGAAATCTGTCTAAAATGATTATAAATAAGGAGACTATGCTTCGCTTATTAAATGATTGCAAATGTTAAGTGACGATGTTTGATCATTTAATTTCTCCAAAAGAAAGCGCTTTATTGTCAAGTGGTTGCAAAATATTGTTTGCTTGATTCTCTTTGGTCCGAAAGGAATATTAATAGAGCGTTTCAAGTTGAGTTGATAAAGAGCTTTCGAGACATTTTGGCATACATTCCGCTTCCAACTCTGATTAAGTGCTACCCTAGCGTTGCTTGGACATACGGACCGATCCCACTTCATAGTATTTCCAACAGTCGTCTTATAACTAACATCTTCAGTGCTTTACTTAATTTACAATTAGCTCTCTGTAACCATCCGGTACTTCGCGGATGGATGGGATGGCTGCGTGTTGGATAAACGTTTTAAATGTTTCTGTCGTTGCTTGTTCTTGAATTTTTGTGATGTTCCGTTGGTCGTCTGGCTATTCAAAGATCATAAGGTTAGAGAATATTCGGATCTTTCCAAGTTGTCGTCTCGTCACCACCAACTCCATATATAAAGCCAAGAAAAATGTAAATTATATTTTTTTACTTTATCTTAAAATGTGTTGAAATTTATTTTGTCTCAAAAATATACTTTTGTTTACCTTAACTTTCATCTAGTTTCGTCGTGTTTCTTAAAGTGTTTCTTGAAATCAGCATATTTTCCAGGCTACACCGTCTAAGCGTGATTTGATCAATGATGGCACAACATATGTTAAAGTTGCTACGATGTTAATCACAGCCATTGTAAGCTTTGTTTTTACTGATGAACTCATAATCTATTTAGATCATCATTAATACACTGATTTTAACTAATGAATAAGCTTATTGCACTCATATAATAATTAACACCTTAAATTTCTGAAGACTATCCATATAAATTAAGATTGTAATCATTATCGAATGATAACTGATATGAAATGACTGGACAGTTCTGATAACAACAGTCGACAGTTAAATGCAAACAGCTGGAAATGATCCACGTTAACCTAAATCCACGGAACATTAGAAAAAAAACTGCAATATCCGGAACTTGATTGTTTCTCATGCACATTACGTCTAACTCGTCTCACCATTTTATTATTAAGTTATTAATTATTCAATTTTGTTATTATACAAAACGTTCTGTGGATTTATGTTAACGTGAATCATTCCCAACTGTTTGCATTTAGCTGTCGATTGTTATTATTAGAACTATCCAGTTATTTCATATCACTTATCATTCGATAACGATTTACAATCATAACAACAAAATCGAATAATTAACAACAATATAAAACTACATCTACTCTAACGCAAAAAGGTAGACGGAAGGAATTATACTGACAAATTTCATTGTCGTGTTGTCAGATTTTTACGACATTTCAGTCTATATTCGTCTAAACATACTTTTCGGACCTAGGTCAGTATAATCTCTTCCGTCTCCCTTTTTGCATTAAAATAGATGTGTGTTTTATATTTTAGTGTTCATATTTTAGTATTATTTAATATTTTAGTATTATTATTCTTTATTCCCAATTACATTGTTTTTGGTGATAGTTTTTTTCCACAAAATTTAGCTGCTCATTTACATTGCCAACATGTACATATTGCTTTATAAATTATTTGGCGCTATTTGCAAGATTCTCAATGTTTATTATTTAAAGTTCACAAAATGTAAAAAAGAACATAAGTTGATGGTTGTTTTGCAACATTTAAATGTTTTAGTTAGTGATTTGAGGTGAAAGCCAAATGTAAATGGCAAATATTGATTTTTTGATTTTTTTTAATGTTCAGATTGGTCTTCGGCTTATCACTTCTATATTTGATGGAAAAAACTACGAAAGTTTTGGTGATGCTTTCAAATCACATGCTTTTTCTTGGCCTCAACATTACAATATATTTTTGCCCCAAGACAGACTGGATGTCAACGATGAAGATGATGAAATTTCAACGGATGACATTTAAAGTGAGGTAAATTGAAGTGCGAAAATCTTGATTATTTGTCCGAGACAAGTTATAGTTTTCTCTTTAAGATAGAAATAAATGTACTATAAGGCACTGCGACCACTGAATTTATTCCATTTTATTTATTTCATATATCCTGTCTTCAAGTGATGGTATAATTATACTGTGATTATGGCTTGTTTTCATTTCCAGTAAGAAGTTTAACAATGCTAATTATCGGTATAAATGAAATAGTTGTTATAATTTTTGAAGCCAACAGTGTTTCTCTCTCTCTTAGTAATTGAGAAATGAAAAATTTATCTGCCAAGATGATTAGCTTTACATTGTCATCTTAGTATCAGCATGTCATCTTCCGTCGTTGATATCACTTTACATCTAAATGAAGTGAAGGTATGAAGCTGTAGCAAAGATGCATGCAATATGCAAGTTATGACAATGTGCGGTATGCATGCTACTGCAACTCACTCAATTGTTACAATATATTGTAAGATAAAGCGTTGTTTAACAGTAAGCAAACTTCCTCGTTAATTGGAAATGTCATGATTTGTCGCTGCCTCTTCCTCTTTATTGATATTAGTTAGTTTCAAAAAAGTTCAGACAGAGGTAATTGCAAAAAAAAAAAAATTAAACTATGAAAAATAAATTTATCATAATTACGTATTCATAGATGATTAAAAATTTCATCTACAGTTGAAATTTCTGAAAATTCTTAAATTATTAAAATTTCAATTCTATTAACAAGCAACTAGATAAATATGGTCGATGTGTTTATTATAAGCGTGTGATATCAACATGCGTGTTCGTTTAAATGATACGCAAATAAAAAAACTCGTGACACGTATCATGTGGAAGTAGTTGAAGAATATTTGTGCAACAGACGCGAAATCATTTACAGTATAAATACGTGGTAATAGAAGAGAATGAGAAAGAGGACAGAGTTGACTATTGGGCACAGCACAATCGAGATCGAGATGGGGAAAAGAGGAGAGCAGAGCAAGGTGAGGAATATTGAGAAGAATGACGACCGACCATTCGCCCAATGTCGATAAATCGATCATATAAGAAGAGAAACGGGGATGAAAGAAAGCAGGGTAGAAAACCATTGGAATTTTGTCAAAACATCACTTGGCAGGAGAGAGAAGAGAGGAACGTGAGGAAAAAGTGGGAGGTTGGAAAAAAAGGAAGACAGATAAGAGAGAGAGGGAGAGAGGAAAAGTAGTTCAAGGGGGATAATACGGCACTCCATCGAGATTGTAGTTTATAGAATACCAGATAGATGCCAGCTGACAGCAGGCCGAAACCGATGCCATATCACGACTAAAGGACAGTGTAGGGTCGATTTCGATTTCTTGCCCGTGTAATGTGTTTTAGGGTCTTTTTTTTCTCTCTCTTTGTCTAAATGGCTTCATATGTTTACGTGTTAGCATAAATGATCTTCTATTGTAAGAAGTGTGCTTCCACGTTCGTTTATACGTTCAACTTTACAACATTTCCGATACTTTACCAAAGCTGTTTAATTCTTATTATTTAAATTCTTTTTTTTTTGGTATATTTCTTCCCTTTCATCTCTCGCTTCACCCTATGTTATGTAAGTAACTCAATAAAAAGGGTCATCAAGTATAACCGTATATCTTTCCTCACTGAAATTAAATGTTTTCGATGTTTTCAATACACACATACACACACACACATATATATATATATATATATATATATATACTACATGGAGGTATTTGTACTTTTTGGATGATTACTTGGTTGCCCGTTTTATAACTGCATAAACTATACCGTATTTTCAAAGATGAAGTAGGGAAATACGAATGAGCGAGCTTCATTAAATCCAATTTAACCAAATCCACAGGTTTGACTAAATCAGCTCATGGAAGTCTAAATAATATGTATTGAATATTGGTGCAGTCGTATCAGGATGAACAACTTTAAGATCTAGATTCCTGGAGTTGTCTGTTTTTGATCTTTGTTGGAAATTTCTAGTTTGTTAGCGTCTATCATGAGAAATATTAAAATAGAAAATTACTGCTAATTTAAGAGAGTGCGAAGGAATGATAATTGAATGCTTCCTAAATAATCAGTATTAGCTATCTTCCAATTTTTGCAGAATTTCTGATCTTACCCGTTTAATTCATTATTCAAATTACATTTGAAGTCTTATAGGCCATAAAGGAAATTAAAACTTTAAACACTGATAAGCACTTTGGTTTTAATTTTCGTAATGGATGAAACGATGAATTTCTCGTCTTTCTTTGTCCTAAGGATGTTATAATTTCTATATTATTAATTAATAATTATTTTTGATGTACATCATTATCCTTTGTTAAAGCACTGTTGATACGCCATTTTCTTTTGTCAAAAAAGGATGCCATTGCAAACAGCCTAAGTCATCATATAAGAAAACGATTTAACATTACTAAATGATTTGAACTTTTGAATATCTCTGTTTTCCTTATCCCAATTCATTCGCTACCTTTACATTTTCATTTCTGCAGCTTGTTTAGGAAGAAGAGGAAGGGAGTCACGAAATGGACTTACTGTCGCAGCTGGTTGGAACATCAGTCTGCAAACAACGATCAGATAAAACTGACCAAGGAGAGACCGATTTAACTTCTATTGCCACTGCGACTATTCGCTTAAACAGGGGCGAAGGATTGAAAATGATGGAAGCGAATGTGAACACAGAAAAACCAAATGTAGTTTGCAAGACGGAAGAGCCAAACTTGGAAAACAGTGATTCGCTCAAATTTGGAATTGTGGAAAGCTTCATGTTGAAGGTTCTTCTTTCACTTTTTTAATCTTTTGAAAAGTTGAATTGTGATTCGTGGCTGACAAGAAGAAGATTCTTGAAAAATTCGAAAGTGAGTAAAAGCTAAAGCATAATGACGAAATATAGGATTATAAATTTTAACCATGGAAATGAGATAAAAATATTACCATTATTCATTGTGGCCCATTCTTTCTTCATCCATAAAAAGAAATGTGTATTTCAGATGGCTCCAGATGCAGATGTTCAAATTTTTCGTTCAAAAAAAGGTTTCGAAAAATTGGCGTACGAAGGGTTTTTGTATAATTTGGATAAGCGTCATCAGAAATATGTATTATGGCGATGTGAAATGAGCAAAAAACCGGGATACAAATGTAGTGGTCGAGTTCGGATGACCGAAGATTCCCTCGATGTAAAGTTCAACGTTCTCCTCAACATTCTTCCATTCAAACGACTGGGTTTGAAACCATTTATGTTCTAGAGTTGTGACTTCTCACTTCTCACTCATCAACGAAATATTGTTATTGATCATGCGTAGCACTTAAAAATCATAGATTACATTTTTAATCTACTTTGTTTCGAATTACAATAGTTTGGGTGTCGTTAGCAGTGAAATGAAGCAAATGGATATTAAACTTGAAGTCCTATGACATTTATTTATTATAAAAGCATATCAAAACTGGAAGCAAGTAGGTAATCCACCTCATGAATTACCTGCGTCTAGTATTGCACATCTCAATATCATTAATAGTACTGCAATAAAATTATGATATTGGAGTTAGGAAGCCTTAACAGATCGCCGTCCTGTGATTTTTTTTAATGTGGTTAGTGTCTGTTAGTAGTGTCTGATTGTTACGCTATACGAACTTATTTTTAGATGTACAGCGCACATTCGCATCCACCAAATCCATTAAAAGTTGTGGCAGATATACTTAAGGCACGGTTATATGCGGCTGCCGAGGATCCAGCGAATAGTTCGAAATATTTGTATCATGAAGCTCTTCATCTAGCGTCATTTGCCGGCTCTTCAGGTAAAAAAAATTTTACAATAAAGAAATTTACGAAATATTCAAGTTTACTAAACATAAAGCGCTGAATAGACCTGGTATATTTCATTCTTATTTCAATATAAAACTATTGACGCTATCCGAGCGATAGTACACTTCTTATATGATGGGAAACTAATCTCCTGGAAGAACGCACGAACGCTGTTTGTTTATCAAATTAATTTATTTGCGAATCAAGCAGTTAGCAGTATGTATAATATTTTGTATGCTCCCTGGAGTAGCACAGTAATTTCCACAACTTCACAGCACGATAAATTGGACATTCCCCTCACCATCAGTTCGCTTCATAAGATCATTTTTGAAGCCGTTTCTTTGAGGAAAATATGGATTGATAATTGCCATAAGATTTGACATAAACATATATATTGGTTTGCTCCTTGAACATATCACTTCTGCTTGTTGGACCTACCTTTACTTCTTGTATCCTGCGACATATGTCATCAACTGATCTGAACTAACACCATTTTGTTTACCAGCCGATTATTCTATCAATCTGCTTGATATATTGAGGTTATAGGTCTACCGAAGCTTGGTTCAATGCAACGGGTGATCAGTCGGAAACGACGTCATACGCAAAAATTATTGGAAGAAAGTGTAATTCCTGCTTCGTCAGATTATGATATCTCAAGCAATATTCCCTCCACATCAGCGTCAGGTGATCGGAATTGCTCTATTAGCAGTGTTTTGCAGACCGCCGAGCGATTACAATTCCTTTTTACTCCTTCAGGAGGTAAAACTTGGATTTTTGCCATAAAAATAAAAAAATTGATCTTGGAACGAATGAAAGAACTTTTATGATGGCAGTCCATTTAATTTACTAATTGGGGATTATTTGATCTTGATCAGCCAAAATTTTTTTTTGCATGTTTAAAATATTTGGGTGAAATTTCCCACATTTCAGACATCTCATTTATTATTACACCCACATTTCCGCCAGATAGCTTAAACTTGACGTATTTTTAAAGGATTCAAAGAAATCGGACTTAAAAAAGCTAAAGATATGAGTCCTGATGATGATACTGACGAATCGAGTAATGTCAAAAAATCGAGAGCGAATACGGATGAAGGCAGGAAATTTGAAATCTCGATGTTGCAGTCGTTTTTTGGCGATACAGGCATATCCGACGAAAGAGCGGAATATCCTTTTAAGCCTTCGG